AGGGATGGGGGCGGGGTGGCGTGGCACAGAATATAGGGCTTCGTGCGTGCACTTCTCACACCCTTCCGAGGCCACTGCAGTGTGCATTTTCTAAGTTCGCTAAGTTCTCGCAATAAGTTTGCTAAGTTCCTGCCAAGTATACTTAGTATACTTAGAAGCATGTGCGCTAACCTGCCCCATATGTCAGCTAAAAAGTTATAAGTGAGGCGGACTTACACATATGTTAGGCCCACTTATAACATGACTTGCCCCCCCTTATAAGTCACCTTGTCGAACATACCAAGTTCGCCAACTAAGTCTGAACACTAAAGTGGATCTTCCGAGGGTACGTAATTTCTGCCCTTTGGCCAAACTGCAGAAGTTAGTGCCGTTTCAACAAATTTCAGCCGTTTCAATCAAACATTGCCGTTTGGCGAATTTCCTGAGGTTTCCTGCAATGTTGACAGTGCTTTATTATATCCCAAGTTAGCGCGGCAAATGCGCCTGGAGGAGTGTGAAGGGTACGGCAGCTACGGTTCCCAGATTGTAAAATCACAACAAAAGCTTCGGATAGCAGGTTAAAGCCTGCTACTGCTGCCTGTTCCGCAGCATCGGCTGAGTTTCCTCCACCTCGGCATTCACCCAGCGCTTCTCTCTGCACTCTGCGGCTGTGTGGTTCCCTCCACACACCCGGCCCGTGCGAGAGAGAATGGCACACTGGTGCCTGCGGCCACAATCCTCCTCCGGCTGGGCATATGCCCCGGATTGCCACAGCGCACACAGCAGTGCCCCATCACGGAGCGTGGGCGACACCTTCTTGCCCTTGATGGCGCTGAGCATCTCCACATGCGATCCCCGCCTACGCCCACTGGCCTGGCGCACTGCAGTGGTGCTCTGGCGCTGCTTCAACATCACCAGGCGCTTCTTGATGTCCGCCTTCTCCGCTGGCGAGGTCCATAAGGCCGCACTGTCGGCGCCAACCGCCTTCTCCGCCGCCGGCAGCACCGCCTCCACTGCCTCCGGCGGGATCACCTCCCAGGCATCAAAGGCCTGTAGGGCATGGGCAATGACAAGGACTTTGTGCTTGGTGCGCAAGGAAAGGGCGTACCTCGCCGCAATGGCCAGCTACAGGCGAACAGCAGGGATGCAGAAGTCGAACCCCTGCCTGTTCTGCCGTTGTTTGCCTCTGGAGCACCGTCCATGAAAAGTGGAGTGGCTCAACCGCCTGGGCCATGACCTCATGACGTGCGCGTAGCAAAGAACTCCGGTGGCTGTCGGCCACCAGCCCTGACCATACTGGGTCATTGGCCCTGTACTTGGACACGATCATGTCCTCCAGCATGGGGAGCATGGGCGGCTCCGCCACTGCAGCCTGCCAGGCAGATTCCCCAGCCTGGGCTGCTTCGCCGAGAGCTGGATCGCCCCCAGGTCCAACGGCAGCTTGGACTGCTTCACCAAGCACTTCAATGACGCCATAGCCCTCGCCGGTGCTGAAGTTCTATACTGAAAGAAAGAGTCGACATCCACATGCTGGGGACAACCCCTTCCTTCCATGTGCGTGCGCACCTCAGCCCGGGTCTTGAGGGCATTGATGACGGCTGCCCTCTCCGAGAAGGTGGGCAGATGGGCAGATGCTGTGCTTGCCGCCTGCATGAAGCTTCCCACTCCCCCTTGAGGGCCGGGGTCAACTCCCCGGACAGCTTCATGGCACGAAAGCCCATCAGCGCCCCCGCCAGGACCTCCACATGCCGCAGAACCTCAGCAAGATGGTCCGGCTGCACGGCCAGCGGGGCCGGGGCTCGCCGCCCCTTTCTGGGATTGAGGGTCAGCATGCGGCCCACCGGCGGTCCCTCCGCCACTGTTACAGCCGCCGGCATCAGCCGCTCGTATGCCTGGCCGGCCACTTCCAGCCATGCTTCGGCCAGCGCTGTGCCCCCCTCGGCACAGGCGTCCTCCTCAAACATGAAGGCGAAGTCATCATCCCGCTCCAAACCACGCGCATTCCTCCATGCGCGCACGTGCAAAATGGGGGGCAGCCCCGGAACCTCGAAACCGTCCCCCGGACGAAAATGCACCACCATCCCCACCGACTGCCACAGCCGAAGAGCGGCGACCCGGTCCCCCCGGGCCTGCACCAGAATGATGTGCTGCTTGAAGTCCAACCCAGCCGCTGTAGACAGCATCCGGCACTCCGTGTGCACCGCCACATCAATGCCAGGACGCAACAGGGGCATGTTGAACTTAGTTAACTCCAAGTTGCCAGTTTTGGCTCAAGGCCACTTGAGTCCCAAAATGGCAAGACATCAAGGAATGATCAATGCATACCCAAGCCTACCAAACTCAATGCATTCATAGCAACACATGTTACGTGTTAGTTTGGTTCCCTCACGTTTCCTCGTTTCACACTTGACCTTCTTAGCTTGGATGCAAACCAGCCTGAACTGGATTGGCCTTCTGTTCTAAAGTGCCTTTAGCCACTATGCAAGAAATGCCCTTCAGCACTGCGCACACGCCAGCCACGTGGCTAGCACGCACAATCACGCGCGCCCGTACAGCAACGCGCGCCGCATTCAGAAAACTGGCACAGGACTGCAGCGCCTCCGTTTAACTGAGCCCGCCCAGCACTGCGCACACGCCAGCCACGTGGCTGGCACGCACAATCACGCAGCAACGCGCGCCGCATTCAGAAAACTGGCACAGGACTGCAGCGCCAGAATGATTTCGATCGATTTCTTGCAAATCTGAAGTCGTGAAAACAAACCGCCTGTACGACGGGGCCAACGACAATAACACTCGAGCAAACAGTTGCACGCGCATTCCAAGCAAAACACCTCAAAACAACGACCCCTGAAGCGCAAATCGCACTGCCGCAACAGCGACGCTGTCTACCCGCACAAAACACTGCGCCTGCGCTGCAAAACAACATCTGACATGCTACGAGCTACAATTCCCGCACAGGGGCACGAAAAATGACACGCTTCAAGTCATCCAAATAGCACGTTTTTCGCCTTCCCCATTGGCACGGCAACCGCGACACTCGCGAACACCCATGCACGCGTACATGCGTGCAGGCGAACATGCATATAGGCATGAACGCGTACAGGCGTGCACGCGTACCAAATCCCCTACCAAACCCAAAGCCCCACCATTTTGGCAGCTCCTGAAAACAAACAAACCACCAGGCCCCGTAAGATTACAACAGACTTCTTCACGGTACGACCACATCCAACCAACCAACCAACCAAACAAACAAAGAACAAAACGAACAACTAAACAAACACTGCAAAGAACTAAGCGCGCAATTTAGGATTTCTGAAGCCCGAAAAATTCTGGATGTGTGGGACCCGGAAAATTTGGGATTGATGGAACCCGGAAAATTTGGGATTTCTGGGACCCGGAAATTTTGGACTTTCTGGGGCCCGGAAAATTCTGGATGTATGGGACCCGGAAAATTTGGGATTGATGGGGCCCGGAAGATTTGGGATTTATGGGAACCGAAAATTTTGGACTTTCTGGGGCCCGGAAAATTCTGGATGTATGGGACCCGGAAATTTGGGAATGATGGGACCCAAAAGATCTGGGGGCCTGCTTCAACTCTTGCATCGGCAGGAGTCCCCTGTGGGGGCATCCCTCAACTCCCCTAAGGGGAAGCGAGTGCCGATGCAGAGAGAGCAACGTCAGGAGCCACTTAGAGAGGCAAGAGCTCCGACACACTTTGAAGCAGGCTTTGATCCAAGTTGAAGCAGGCTTTGATCCAGCGGACCAATTCCTGCGCTCTGAAACACTTGTCAGCTAGCAATCTACTAGTGTCTGAGGGAAGAAACAAAAGTCAATTCATCTCACCACCAACAAAGCATCAAGCAAAGAATAGCCATGCAGCTAAACAGAGCCCGGGCATCCACCCAAAAGGTGCCAGCTGGCAATCTACTGGTGTCTGAGGGAAGAAACAAAAATCAATTACGCTAACCACCAACAAAGCATCAAGCAAAGCATAGCCATGCAGCCAAACAGAGCCCGGGCATCCACCCAAAAGGTGCGAATGATCTGGGGGCCTGCTTCAAAGTGTGCCGGAGCTCTTGCCTCTCCAGGTGGCACCTGCGTTAGCTCTTGCATCGGCAGGAGTCCCCTGTGGGGGCATTCCTCAACTCCCCTAAGGGGAAGCGAGTGCCGATGCGGAGAGAGCAACGTCAGGAGCCACTGAAAGGGGCAAGAACTCCGGCACACTCTGAAACAGCCTTTGATCCAGCGGACCTATTCCTGCGCTCTGAAACACTTGTCAGCTAGCAATCTACTTGTGTCTGAGGGAAGAAACAAGAGTCGATTGCGCTGGCCACCAACAAAGCATCAAGCAAAGCATAGCCATGCAGCCAAACAGAGCCCGGGCATCCACCCAAAGGGTGCGAAAGATCTGGGGGCGCTAACCACCAACAAAGCATCAAGCAAAGCATAGCCATGCAGCCAAGCAGAGCCCGGGCATCCACCCAAAAGGTGCGAAAGATCTGGGGGCCTGCTTCAAAGTGTGCCGGACCTCTTGCCTCTCCAGGTGGCACCTGCCTTAGCTCTTGCATCGGCAGGAGTCCCCTGTGGGGGCATCCCTCAACTCCCCTAAGGGGAAGCGAGTGCCGATGCAGAGAGAGCAACGTCAGGAGCCACTTAGAGAGGCAAGAACTCCGACACACTTTGAAGCAGGCTTTGATCCAGCGAACCTATTCCTGCGCTCTGAAACACTTGTCAGCTAGCAATCTACTGGTGTCTGAGGGAAGAAACAAAAGTCAATTGCGCTGGCCACCAACAAAGCATCAAGCAAAGCATAGCCATGCAGCCGAACAGAAAAGTGTCAAAACATAACGCGGGTCGGCGGCACTGGGCGGCAGCCCATAAATTTTACTCTACTACAAACAAGCTCAAGCGATGACAGGCATTCCACGGAAGTTCCATCAAGCAGCACAGTAGAACACTTTATCAAAAACACCATGTGGCTTTAGGGAGATGCTCCATTGCACCAGCTCTGGGGTCTCAACACTGGCTGCTCAATGCAAGATTTGCGGCCGTTATTCTCGGCAGCACCTGTCAAGTCACAAGGCCAAGTGCTTGGCCATTCGAATCCAACGCCTTGTGCTGGACTGCTTGTCCGTTGAGTATCATGCGCTGGGCCTTGCGATCGAAACCCAGTCCAAACTTCACAAGGCATTGTGTCTGAGGCGCACGCTCGATGGTTGAAGAGCCGAAGCAGCTGACACATCCGTTGCCTGAGCCATTCCTTTAACGCCCCTCTAGGTGCGAGGTGCACAGCTAGGTGCCCCACACCACCTCAGCAGTCATTTCGCTGAAATCATGGCCTTAGCAAGTAACACATGGATGCTACGGCTTACGTGTATTCGCAAAGCCATTGAGTCCTGCCATTACTCAACATGTGGGCTGAGGGGCTGGCAGAGTTGCACATAATCCGCGAGCAGCTGCAGCAGGGTCAAGGCCTCTCAGGAGCTTTCTTCAAGGCACTTGTAAGCATCGAGCATCTCAGGCTGGTGCTGCTGGCACCACCTGGTACTGGGTGCCTTCTACATGAAGATACCTCTCAGCTGGCCTGCCAAGTGTGACAGCATTTCATGCTGAGGGGGATGGAAGTTACAAGTGATACTTGACAGTTGAATGCCAACTTGGCCAAAGAAGCTGATCTGCATCTTCGTCAGCTGCACCTGATGCAGAGCCCAAGCCTGTTGGCAAAGGGCTGGGAAGCTTAGCTGTGTATAAGGTTCCAACCGCCAGCATCGCTTAACTTTGCCCTGTCAGGTTTGCAAATTGATTCAAATAGCTCGCGCTGCGTGCTGCAAGCATTCTGAATTCTGGAAATACGCGGCGTGGGTCGCTCATGCCCCAGCAAGCTGCGGAGAATCTTCTTGTACTGCACTGGTACCTGTCAGAAAGCAAGACACATGGCACTAGCAGTGATTTGCGGTTTGGCCGAGAACAAGTCACATACGTATGCTGCCAAATTTCACTCAGCGGCTGCAGTGAAACTAAAGCCTTAATTACACAATCTGTATCCTATCACCCTTAAGCCGATCAGGCCATGAATATGTCCCAAATCAGTGAAAACCACAACATTGCCTTTATGATGTGTTCATGATGTTGCTGCAAAGGGATTCCAAGGCGCACATCAGTTCGGTCCCAACGTTCTTGTTCCAGGACTTGCGTCCTCTCTCAGCAAAATTCCAGCATTGTAGCACGAATGTCTGGAGTGAGTTCGATGTTGTGCTGAAACACCCAGCACAAGCAGGCCGGGTGTGCGTCTGCAGCAAGCACTTCTGATGGAATTCCTGCTGGGAGATTCGCTGGTAAAACTGCCCTTTCCAAAGGTTCAAGGAATTCACTGCCACAATGGACAATCATGCACCTTTAAAATCCTATAATTTGTCATCGCGGTCTTCTGTGAAACTGGGTAGAATGCAAGCATATTGACAGGTGTCAGCTTTTACGAAGACTTGGCTGAGTTGACTATAATTTGAGGGGGACAACTTGCTTGCCATCAAACGACTGGGATCACAAAATGTTGTCTGTCCAAGAACATCTTGGTGGGCAGTTCACCAAGGCCTGGTTGGAGAATCGACCAAATGCCTGCAACAAAAGTGCAGAAGAAACCTGATGTATGAATGGACACTGCAAAGACAGCCATACTTCAAAACTTGACAGCAAACATGTTGAACGATCAATGCTCCAAAAACGCAAGACTACACACGAATGGCAACCGAGCTGTCTTGATCTTTGCATTTGAGAAAAGTGGAGCTCTAATGCGTGTAACCTTCCGCGATTGGCACCGATGAGGAGGTTTCCTTGTGCCCACTGGGCATGTCCGAGCAATTCTGATCGTCAGGCGATGCAGGTGCCAGAAAGAGCTTCCATTTATAATAGGAGTTCTTTTGAACCACGCAATGATGCAGCTCCTCCCGCACGAAACAAAAAGGGCACTTGATGTGCAGGTTAACTAAATTTGTGTATACTCCATGCAGGCTTGGAGCACAATGCTCGCAGTGTTATTGTACAAGGGGATGCGTTGCCTCCCGCGGTGTCAACCGATGTTTTGTGGGGACTCAACGTTTTGCTGCGCAAGGGCATGTGGTTCTGCTAGGGGTATCAACAACCTAGTTTACAGACCAGCGCGGCAGCTACGTTTAGTTGACGAAAAGCTGTGTTGTTGACAAAGATGCTGGTGGTGTCGACAATTTTAGCCTACAGGGCAAGCCAAGCCGCGTTTTCACAGGAATGCCATGCCCAATCTGCGATGCTCTGAATCAACACTTTGAACTGCTTACAGATAAATTCCCCAAAAAGGAGGCTTCCGGGAAGGGAGGTGTGGAATCTGCCGGCCCCTTCTTCCCAGAAGGGGAGGCGTCCGATCTGGGAACAGGCTATAATCCCCATGGCTGCACGCATTAAGCATGCAGCTCTGGGGGCGCTGTGGATGTCGTGACAGTACTGTACACACTGTCTGATTGCTTTGAGATACTGGTGGACTGAGTGGGATTTGGGGTTGAGGGTTGGTCTGGAATGGAGTGGACTAGAGTCGGGCTTAAGGTCTTGCTAGCGTAGGGTCTAGGGTTTAGGGTCTAGGGTTTAGGGTCTTCCCCTAGACCTGAAAACGTAAACTCTAAAGAAACATTGGTCGAGAAGCCGCGTTCTGGGGTTGAAGGTTTGGGGTCTTCACCTTCTGAAATCCTACAAATCTGAAACCATAAAACATTAAACCAAAAAACCGTTCAGCTGAACCTGGAAAACAAATTGGTTTCAGCGTGCGCCCTTTCAGGCACATGGAAGCCTCTTTGAAGTTTTACTGAAGAAATCTTCCCACTTGAGTTTTCCCTTTGGCATTTTCGCTTTGAGATGTTTTCTTTGGAAGTTCCGCGTTGGAATATTCTCATTGGACGTCTCCCATTCGAATTTTCCCAAACTCTGAACAATCTAAATGGCTTACAATCCGAAAACCTTAGTGGCTTAACGTGTTAACATCTTCGTCAAATCTTAAGGGCCCTAGATCTTAGAATCCTAATGGCTTAGAATCTTCAAATCTGGCTACACAGCTTATTTTCTTGGTGGCTTAACATCTTAGCATCTGAATGGCTTTCAGCCTAAACATTTTGATGGGTTGACATCTAAACATCGTAGCGGCTGAATAGCCTGGGTGCCACAAGACACGAAAAGGGACCCTTCACTTGACCCTCTTTGGTCCTGTTGTCCATTGCGTCCCACCCCGTGTTCCGTATCCCGTGTCCCTTGTTCCGTATCCCGTGTTCCGCGCCCATTCCCCCCAGAACTTAGAGGAAGACTTCCAATGCGAAAATTCCAAAGGGTTTTTTTGAGAAAGCAGTCTGTAATGTTGGCGGCCCGAGCCAGAGGCGTTAAAAGTTTGGCGTCCACCAGCATCAACATATCAAACTCCACACGTAGTCTTCGGGGAGCCGGTGTCGCAAAACTGGGGTCCCAGGCTCGATTCCCCCTGCCGGCTTGTTTGGCTGGCTTCGGCTTCCTGCCTCCTGTTGCCGAAAATCTGGAAAACTCTGTGTTTTTGGACGTCCTCATTGCGAAAACGCAGGAAAATGTGTTTCTGCGAGAAATACTGGGGAGCATACATACATACATACATACATACATTACATTACATTACATTACATTACATTACATTACATTACATTACATTACATTACATTACATTACATTACATTACATACATACATTACATTACATTACATTACATTACATTACATTACATTACATTACATTACATTACATTACATACATACATACATACATACATACATACATACATTACATACATACGTTACATAACATAACATAACATCACATAACATAACATAACACTAGATTTACATTACATTACATTACATTACATTACATTACATACATACACACATACATACATACATACATTACATACATACATACATACATACATGCATGCATACATACATACATGCATGCATACATACATACATTGCACACATACATGCATACACACATACATACATGCATGCACGCATGCATCCATACATACATTGCATACATACATAAACACATACATACATAGATAGATAGATAGATACATACAGACATTACAGACATACATACATACATACATACATACATACATACATACATACATACATACACGCACATACATACATACATACATACATGCATACATACATACATACATACATACATACATACATTACACACATACACACATACATACATACATATAAACATGCATACATACATACGAGAGAGGGAGATTGGGGAGAAAGAGGCTTGGGGGGATGGGGAGGATGGGGAGCAGAGGGAGGGAGGGAGACAGGACGACAGAACACAAGGGAGACAAGGGAGAGAGGAAGAAGGAGAAAAGGGAGAGGACAATGTCGGCGGACTGAGCCGGAGGCTGTAAAGTATTCCTGGTTCGTGCGAAAATCATGGTTGCGCTCCAAGCAACCTGTGCAAATATCAGCCTTGAAAGATGGAGCTACTTGCTCCAAGTATCAGCTTCGCAAGCTAAATTTTAAAGTCATTGTTCTCGACTAATCCCTAATCCAAATTAGCCTTCCTTTCTCCGTCCTTCCCCCGTTGTTTTCGTTTCACTTCCTGCCCCTCCACTTCGTTGAGTTTCCATGACTCACGGGCAGAAGAGAGCACCATTCGGCGCGAACTGTCGCGAGCACCGCTCGGACAAAAAAGGAGGTAGGGAGGGCGGGAGAGCTTGCGGCCACTCTGAAATTCCACAAGTCATTCGTCTGCGCAACAGTTTACTGCGTGGGGCGCAAGCGCACACCACTCATGTTTTGTCACTGCAACCTTAGCTCCGCGCTGCGTCATTGCATCGCGTTGAGAAAGCCCGCGAATCCACCCATAATGGCCACCGTCGTGCGACCCAACGGCCTTTGGCGAAAGCCGACCTTGCCATCGAACTCGTTCAGCAACCGTGATGAGGGAAGAGGTCAAAGAAGGCAAAGAAAGGGCAGGATACAGGCGGCACACCAGCAAGAACCCTTCCGCCAAGCCACTCCTCCGCGGCCAAGGCAGGTTTTCAAAGGCAGCAATGCGTCATTGCCCGCCCGCTCAGTCGATTGGCAAGACCGCGATCTGCGCGGTTACCTCTGGAACCTTGAGAGAGAGAACGTTCCTTACCTTGTGCCTTCAAAAGATGCAAACTTTGGGCTCCGCGCCATTCTGGGATCAACAACCCCAGGGTTGTTGAGTACGTCCCGCAATACGATGAGGTTGTCAAGCGACAGTTCATTGATCAAGTCGCACACCTTAATGTCGCGGGGGATGACGCTGTGCTCCTGCCTGATGAGAGCCCTTCTTGCTCCACCGTCTTCCAATGCGCCAACAAAAGCGCAGGAGCAGCTTCATGCGCTCGTTCGCAAGCTCTGCGCGACGGCAAGCCTGCCGCGCCTGCCTGGAGGAGAGCCAGCAGATCCGCGGCCTGTTCCTCCTCAACCGCCTCCACGCCCAGATGACGAACATAGGCCGGTACCACGAGCGAAAAGGCGCGGTCCACGCACGAGTGAACGCGCGCTCCGGTACCAGGGGGCCTAACCAAAAGCAGTTATGGCTGATACCCCCTCGACAGAGAAAGAAACCAAGCAAACCAGAAAGCCGGGACCCTTATTAAACCCGAACCGGTGTGCGCGCTCAAACCCTGTTTCCATGCTGGGGCACATGGATCTTGAGCCAAATGGTCATTCGGGGAGTCAGGGGTCGTGATTATTCAACTTGTGTAAACCAGAAATGCAAGAGACCTTTGCTCCTACAACTGCTGCGGTTGCACTGCTTGTGAGAATTATAAAGACGGGCCGAAGAGTCCACTGTTCGATGACTCATGCAAACTCCTAATCGATATTTGTCAGACAGTGGTTCCTGAGACATGAGCGAGAAACGTCCTCAAACTGGGAGATACTAGTGAGAGCCTCGCTCACTTTCAGGGTCCGTTCTTGTCTGCAGCGTGTCCTCGATGATGTTCTTGGTTTGGCTGTGCGTGATTGCACGCAAGCTGGCTTGAATCTCCACACCGACCTCGCATACGGCCACAGCGCGTTATGATTGCAAACACACCATATATACAAGTAGTGGTTGCTTCCAATCAGAAGCAAATTGCTGCCAAGGAACATGGTCGCCAAGCTTGACCTTGATCTGACAGCTTTGCTGCACCTGATCAACCTGTTTGATGGCCAGTGTGAAATCAGAAGGAAAGGGGCAGGCAAAAGATTTGAGAAGCGCTGTGGTAAGGAAACTTTGTCAACAGCATAGCCCTCGCTCCTTCCCCAGCAGCGAATTTGTGAGGCGAAGGAAGTTCTGCCAATCTCGGACCTTCAGGCCTGAGAAACAAATACCGGATGAGACAAGCCACATCAGGTCTAGGCTTCCTGCTCTGATGTTCTTTCTGGCGCGCCTGCAACAGGCGCATGCACGCATGAAACGCTGCAAGGCACTACCGTTGCAAGGACAGCCAGGCGTTGAAAGGAGGCCTGCAGCAGCGCACCAGCTATCTTCAAAGCCTGTGCAAGAATCACCTGGCGGTGCAGCCGATGCACGCATGTCTCTTCCGACGATCTGATCTGACCCTGCGCTCTGCGAAGGGCGCCTCGAGGAGGCGGCAAAGCTCCAGTGCGACCTCCGCGGAGTCATTAGCATTTACCTCGGAGTCATTAGCTTGTGGAGTCTTGTGAGATAGTGCCAATGGCAAGGAAGTCAGGCTCGAAAACTGCTGCAAAATGTGACTGTGTCGAGGTCACTGATGCTAATTGGCAAGCAGCTGCATGTCTCACATTTTGTGGCCCCGGCAGCGTGGGCTTCTGCTGCAATAGCCTGAACCTGGGGCTTTGTGGTGACTGGCTGACCGGGCAAGTGAGCAGCTTTCAATTGGAGGCTAGTGCAGTTTTCTTGGAAAGCTTCACTTGAGACTTTGCTGACTCTGGCCCCATGTTCATGTTGCAAAAGGCTGAAGGATTCCAAGGTTCTGGCTTGACAAGCGTAGCGGCTATAGCGCGTCGCCATCACCAGGACAAATCCCCTGGCAAGGTTCAAAATACTGAAGTATGCAGAGAATCATGCTGATGCACACCAGCTTCATAAAGTTATGAGCTGGCTGCTTCAGCGCAAAAGTGGCAGCCAGTTCTGCAATAACCTTCTCCAAAAGTCGACAAACTTGTCAAAGGCAAGCACCTGCGCTGCATGAGTTGCAGGTGCATCTAGTTTGTATGAGGACTGCATGTGAAAGGCGCACTCTCTGCTGCTAAGTACTGAAGACTTTACAAGTAAGCGCGCCGCACACAGTGCTGAGGTAATGCCAGGTGCAGCACCTGAGAAATCAATCAAATCGACGACTGACATTTATAGCTTGACAGCAATCAACAATGATGCCTGGAAAACACAAAAACACATGTTACTGGGCGACTGCCGAAAAGCATCAAGTTCAGACAGCTGTTGTAGCACGTCAATCATGGAGGCTGTGTAGCCCGCAAGTTTGCGACTAACAGTTGCTCAATGATGGGAACAAACGCTCACTGCAAAAATGGTTGACGGTGCCTCGCCTGCATATCATAACATGTTGTTGTATATGTTTATGTCGGGTCTAGGACTCTTTTGAGCTCACTCGTGTGCAAAGCTCAGGTTGTGACAAAGAAAAGCTTGAGAACCGCATTCAGTGGCGTCGATCTACTGAGCCAAGGATTTGGTTGTTGACTTCCTCGACGCGTTGCGCTTTTCTCGACATCGCGTTACGCAAATCTGCCGAGGGCGCTGTTGCATCCCCGGCAGGTTTTGGCTGCTTCCGTTTTGCACACGCGCACATGCACAAAGGCTGCCAGCGGAAATAACAAAACAACACGAGCGTGGGGGATGCCGGGGATACAGCCAGTGGTACAAAGACAGCAAAGCCAGTGCTTGTGTGCTCCGCTCCAAACAAATTGAATTCAAACATGTTGGACGATGCCATGGATGCAGCCTGCGAGCACGATTTTCGGAAAAGCACTTAAGCCGACTCGGGTACCTTTTTCGGCCGCAGGCCAGTTTCAAGAAAGCAGCCTAATTCACATCAAATTGGGCGATCAGCCTCCTGCCTACATTGGGGAGTATGTTGCATCACCAGGATTTGGGACCCGTTCCAAGCACTTGGTTCTGCAGCATCAGCGTCCAGGGCCTTGCAGAATGAGCTCGGAAGCGCTCGTGGGACACTACCCGCCCGCCCACCCGTTCACCAGGGCGATCGCACTCTGTGTGGGAGGCAAGACGAGGCCGGACGCCAGCTTCCGACCCACAGTGACCCGTGTAGGAGCCATTTACATTCCTGCCTGGTTTTCCTTGCGAAGGGCATGACGGGGTCATGCTTGTGGTCATGATTGAATTTCCCGTGCTCACACCCAGGTCTGAGCACCCCAGACTAAACACATGATATGTGAGAAGCAGCGCGTTGAAAGCACACCTGCGTCTTGGGCTGCCACCTTCCACATTCTTTGCCTGCAGTGTCGAGTGAATGCACACACACACATGACATCTACAGCAACCAATCTACTTGGATTCTGATGGATTCCTGGAAGGACAACTCCTGGCCTCAGCCTCTGCCGGCACAGTTTCAGGTGCTTCTGAAGCTGTCTCCTACGACATGTGGCTGGGTGCTGTTATCCAAACTGTTCATGCTCACTAGTTGAGCCTGTGCACCTGGCATCCTTGGGACTTGCACCATCCAGCGGCAAGCTATCGCCTGCCTCCTGCATGCCACAGCTGCGCAACACGAATTGCTTTGAGGTCCGACGGATTGCACGGCACGAGCTGCCTGGTCTCCAGCCACTTCCTCAAGCTCCTGGCATGCGGATGTGTAGATTTGCACGCAAACAGCACGCAAATGTGTGGCAGCCTGGAGGAGGAACTTGGTGTGCAGTTTGATGGCCTTGACGAATTGCAGACATGATTGCCAAATAAAGAAATCAAGCGCATAATTCAGTAGCCAACAGGGTTGCGCAAAAGAAAACTGACCCTGGCCTTTTTCAGCTGAGACAGCACCACATCCCGCAGAGTGGGATTGAGAGCCTTAACCACTGGCCCATTGACTCATGTTGCTTGCAAAACAGAATATCACTTGAGCCTTCCGAGATTGACACCGCTCGCAGTCGGCCGCGTAAGGCTAGGCATTGGCACAGCGGCCTTGCAAGCAGTTCAGCAGACCCAAGCTCTCAGGGCAAGCAACACACGCAGCACATGCTTACACGTGATGATGTTTAGTTCATTCCATTCACCGAGAATTTGCAAACCAGCACTCCTAACTATTCGCCTAAGCCGCAAGTCGCCGATTTCGTCCTGAAATGGTGATCAGGAGTGACATCTGTCCGTATGGACTGCTCTTGAAACCGCACAAACTTTTGATCTCACGAGCAGGAGTGAATCATACATGATTGGCTACATGCGGGACACAGGGCGTGAACTGAACAACTGCATGGTCCCAGCCTCTTGTCCAGTTTCATGCTCATCTTCTTGCTGCAAAAGTGACTGCATGTGAGCCGAATACGGTGAGCAGTCATTTGCAGTTTTTACCAGACCGGGTGAAATCAAATAGTTCCAACAAGTCAGCGCCTCAGAGGAAAGATGGACAAATTCAGCTTCCACCTCAATGGGGTGAATCTGAGCGAAGCTAAAACCATTGACAGACTCTTCTGTGAGAACAACTTGCTTACGCCAAAGCTTGTGTGCCCCTTACGCGTGCAAAGCGTCAGCTTACGCAGCGGCGCATTTCACAGTAGAGCTTACGCACGGCCTGTCTGGCGAACGTCGTGCTCAGTCTGCGATTTGAAAGCTCCTGCTCGAGAGTCGCAATCTCCCAGCAAGAACGTAGCATGCCATGTACACCCTGGCAGCTCAGGCTCGAAGGCTGCAACCCTGCAGTACCACACTTTCGCAACTTTCGAAGCACACTTTGGCAGCCCCAGCTCGCACACGGCAGCTTTTAAGCACAAGCATAGTGCGAGAAGTAATCTTTGACAGCTCCAGCTCGGAAATCGCAACTTTACGTACAAGCCAAAGCCCAGTACACGAAGCGCACTTCTCGAAAGTTGCAACTTGTCAGCACAAGTCGTTTGAGCCCAGCTTTCACAAGGAAACTCGCAACAACATGCTCACGCGCTGCTTAGGTAGCATCCGGCCTTTATTGTTGCAAGTGCCTTACTTGAGAACAGAAGGGTTCACCGCGTCTCACCGGCAGCTTAGGCTGAGATCGGCAAGCCAAGAGGTTCCGTGCCAAACCAGCTTCAAAATTTATTCAAGAACATCATTCAATCTGAGACATCTTCTTCTTGGCTGAAGCGCCCTTGGGACTAAACTTGAATGGCATCTAGAATCTAGATTCTGCTCCTTTGTGAGCATCCCTTTAGCATCGCGGCCAAGTGTTCAAGCTGCGCACTGCTCTATCAAAGGTGTCCCCGAAGTCGAGAAGTTGACTCCACGTTGACTTCACACTGACCTAGGTGAGCCAGTGTACAATGCTGGCGGTGCTAACCTTTCACCTATGAGGCGCAGACCAAACCTTTGAGTTTTGACTCCAATGCCTGGTCGAATAGAGCTGACTGTTCCCTTCCAGCATGCAAGTCGTTGAGCCATGGACGGAGGTGGTGCTGTCAATCAAGTCCAGGGCAGTGATGAAGTCACGGCCCTGCAACCCATCGCTTGGCTGTAGTTGATTCGCATTGCGCACGTGGACCCACGCACACCACTCGCACAACACAACGTGCAAAACATACGCACACCAATGCGCACACACACGCAAACACACAGAGACGCCAACAAGAAAGTTCTGGTGACATCCTCAACTGCGAGGCACATCTGCGCGCACACGGCCGAGCGCGCCCAGGCGGCGCTCAAGCTTGCCTCTGGTTGCAAGCTTCGGAAACTAGCAGAAATAACAAACATATATCGCAACAGATGCAAGCCGGAACGCGCGCCGGCAGCACCTACGCGGGCGCCAGGCGCTCGGGCAAGTTTTTGGACACTACCAACAATAACAAAACGCCTAGCGCGCAAACAGAAGCAAGTCCCGCGCATCACGCATCAGAACCAGCTTTTACATCCCCAGAACTCGGAACCGATGCATCCCTGGAACCTTCTCGGAAACGCCCCGTGCAGACAGACAGACAGGCAAACGGACAGACGAACAAACAAACAAACAAGCAAACAGACAAACAGACAAAAGTAACAAACAAACAAACGTACAAATAGACAAACAGGCAAACAGGCAAACAGGCGAACAGACAAACCGACAAACAGAGAAGCAGACAAACAGGCAAATGGACAAACAAACAAACAAACAAACAAACAAACAAACAAACAAACCAACCAAACGCACACACTCTGATAGCTCTAAAGCTGGCCAGCCAATGCACAAATCCTGCCAGCAATGTGCCTGCAATAGCATCTGGATGGATGGCCGGCACTGCCTGCGTGCTGCTTCGACCAGAAGCCCCGACACGTCCAACACACATTAATTCAGTGGCCACAAGTCATAAAGTCTGCGCACAGGCCTTACATGCTCCAAGCAATCCAATTTTTGGAGAACGTCTTGCACTCGACGCCTTTGTCGCGGCAACAACGAAGTTGCAAGGAGGATGCTTGCCCATCGGATGAGAATTGGATCGATCTGACAGACATCTTGCCGTATTTCTCTGCATTTGCACAAATGAGGCACAAGCAAAACCCGATACTAAAGTGGTCTACCCAAAACTATGCAAAGAATCCCCGCCACACCTTTTTCTGGCTGGGACTATCCTTGATTAAGCTTCGCACACCCGGAGTTTGATTGTTGCTTCGATCTTATCTGAGCTGGCTACTTTCTGCGTTCCAGCCGGCCGACAGCCAAGCCACAATGCAACTGCAGCTTCTGCACCTCAAATGAACAAACAGCAAGGATCTAAGCGATCCAACTGATCGACTGATCTGACACTGTGACACCAACACTCGCTTAGATCCAGCCTCTTTCAAGTGCCCCCGCAAGGTGCGGACTACAGCCAGAGCACCAGACCTGGCGTGCAAAACACAAGGGCCATTTACGCACAAATGCGCTTCGAAGAAGCTCACTTCCTACACGACGCATGGAGCGCTTGGCCTGACAATAAACAAACAAACCTCTCAAGTTGTTCAGCAAGGAATCCGAGCACCAAAAGGAGCTGCAAGGCCAAGGCTCTGCAAAGTGAGACAAGCCAGCGTTGCAAATCTTGTTGCAATGGCTCCCCGAGCGATGCAAGCGAATCAAACAAGCGGTCTTGCCTCAGCGCACAGCAGATATGAATCGAGCACACCCATATTTGGCGCAAAGGGGTGACCGTGTGGGATGTTGGCACAAAACTCCAGCTCCTCTGACGTGCGTACTGCGCTTTTCTGATATGCTCAAACAGTGACACCTTGCACAAGATCCAGGCAAATGTCGTTCTCAAGCAAAAACCCGAGCCTCCACCATATCCATATACCTCAGAAGGTTCATGACGTCACGGGATCACCAGCGAAGGCTAGAGGAGCATCAAGCGGCTGTAGTGCAAAAAACGTTGGTACCACGGGGCCCATACCCAGAGAGTTCTGCATGAAGATCCTCTTGCCGATCTACCGCGGTTTCTAGCGACCTTGGTAGAATGCCGTGTGAAACAGGATTCTGTCAGCATGCGAGCTCCAGTCTGTCTGAAAATCGGGTGTTGTTCCAATGAAAAGCTGGTGGAGAAGTACTCAGGCGGCACCGCAAAGTGAGCCTGGGCGCAGATGCGTTTCAGTTGTGACCTCTGGCAATGGAGGGCCTCCCGAGCTGCCACCAAATCATCATCCTCCAATACATTCTCACACCCATGAGGTTGAGCTCTTGTCGTTTGTTTGTGAGACATACCCCTGGCGCGGTACTTTTTGCGTTGACGATACCTTTCTCGACCGAAATACCGCTGCGCAAATGTCAACTAAGATCACAAAACTATAGAACAGGTTAAACAACCGGGAATAAGGGTCACCAATGAACCCTGTCCACAGCGCGCTTTTTACTTGAGCCATACGCAGTCGTAATGATGAGACTGCGCAAGTGAGACATTCATGCATTGGGGTTTTTGCATGGTTGATAAATACATCACGTTGCAAACTACACCCCCCGTGCCCGAATGTGAAACAGGAGGACAAATTTAAGGGATGAAACAACCAACGAAACCCGATCGGCATGAAGTCCTTTTGCAGTACACAAGCACTTGGATTCGAGCAATCGGCAGTTAAGGTCCTCCGCCTCCACTGACCGTCGCTCTCGCGAGGCGTGCTCATGCACTGTACATTGATCCTCGGCCAACATGGATTGAGAAATATAATGAACATTGAATTTGAAGTGTAATTGGATGTCAGCCGAAGATTGAAATGATTGATGAAGAGATCGCTCATTCATCGCCAATCCCAATTGCGGGAGCTCTTCCACGGGCGCTGATCATCAGACCACCACGAGTCCCAGGACTGGCCCCAGCTTCCCCAGTACGACTGGCTCCATTGACGATCTTGCCATTGGCCACCGGTCTCCCGGAGCTGCGGAATGGGCTTGCGCGTCACACCGACAACTGCAGCGAGCGGAGTGGCCCGTCCAGGAATTTCGATGCCGGGGATCTCCTCTTCGACGAAGCAAAGCAACTCAACCAATACCATTTCGGGGTCTCCCACAGACGAGAAATCCCGGGTCCAGCCCATCACGGGGTAGCGGTTGCTCTTGTCAAGGCTTCCATACAATGCGGCAAATTGTTCTGGTTCCAGAAATCTGCCACCATGCACCACACACACGTCCTTCGGATCGACCTCCTGCACGTCCTCTGTAGGCGGCACCAGCGTTAGCCGTGCGTGATATTTCGGCACAGCAACGCTTCCTTGGATCATTTCCTTTGTTCTCCCGAAACTCGGAGTAATGCATCGTGCCACCTTTTCGATAAACTCGAGGGCGGACGGCGTCAGGTCTCCCCGCGCGGCAGTGTAGGCGTAGAAGGGGTCGTTGATCAGCCTTTCGTACAACGTGGTGTACTCCTTGTTGCGAAGAACTGCTTTCTTGGCGATGTCCTTCATGATCCCGAGGCCCCCTCTTGCGCTTCGATCCCCTCGCGCATCCTTTCGCTGCGTCAAGATCTGAGTCTCAACCTGGTCCATGGAAAGCGGCACGCCCAAGCTGTTGGCCATCTCCTGCAATCGAACGACCCTGGCTATTTTCTTGATATCTGGCATGCGCTCCATAAGACGGTCACACTGGAAACAGTTGATGGTGCCGGCCGGGATGAGGATTTTGCAGCGCGGGCACTCAACGTCGGGGATGTGCATGACCTCCGCGAAGCGCCAATTGGTCGACTTCTGCTTGTTGGGATCGAGGTCCTGCCACAAACCACTCCGGCCTCGGGTTTCCCCAGGCTGTTGCTTCACAGCTCGGGCCCAGTTTCTGTAGAGGCCATAGCGGGCGGTCTCGAATTCAAGCGCGACCTGCTCTTCCTTCGGGAGGTTCTCGTCGTAAACGTCCCTGGCCTTCGTCACATTGCCAATGCGGTGGGGCCGCATCATGTCGCGGCACGCTGTCGGGGCCCACTGTTTGTAATAGAGCTTGCACTCCTTGTCGGCCTTCGCCATGAACGATTCCAGCACTGGGGTCCCGACAACGCCCTTCTGGGTCTCTTCCCGATACTTCTTGATGCTGTCCTGGTAATTCCGTCTGACGCTGACATACATCCGGTTGGACCAGATAAACTTTGCACATTCAGCGTCATAGGCGTAAATGAGGACCTTGTTCGTGATCCAATCCTCAGTCACCAGGGCTTCCCCGTCTCCGGGTGCGTACAGCCGACATCCCAATTGGATCAACATCTCCACATCGACGGCGATGTTGATGGGTCGGTCAGCACGTGCGCCCCCCGCCTTCCGGCCATGCCTGTCCCAAGGAGGCACTACCGTTAGGTAGGCGTGACCACGCGAGGATTGCCGGTCTCCCATTCCGCCCGGAAAGATGCCCATGTAAATGATGTCAAAGAAATTCTGCATGTCGCACGTGTGGTAGGCGATTTTAGGCAGCGCCTTTCGGCGTGCGTCCGTGAAATCTTTGCAGAAGCCCGGTCGCACACCCTTCTTCGCGTGCTCAATGGTGTAATTGACATCCATTGCAATGGGATCTCCAGGGATGTTGTCAAAGCCGCTGGCCTCAGTCACCCAATCGTTGTGGCCGGTGAACGCGCGAATGCGTAGCGGCATGAAACTGAGCCCGTTCCATTGCTGCCCGGCCGGCGCGTACTCGACATAGACCTCGAACCGATTCTGGACGTGGCCTGAAGAAGAGTGTATTGGGAACAGTTCCAGTCATACCGGCGTTGGATCCATTTGGCAACGGCAGCGTAGTCGAAGGAGTTGCCCTTGAGATTGATCTCCGGGATGGATCGCGTCGCATGTTCGTGGGCATGTCCTCGAACCAAATACGACACCTTCTTGCTCAAGAACGTCCTTCTGCCATAGTTCTGGATCTGGGGAATCTTGATTCCTGAGCATTTGATCCACTCCCTCTTGGGTTCAGCAGCCTGGCCACGGGTCTCCCCGGGCTTCCCAGCAGCTTTGGAAACTGCCTTCGCCTTGGGGATGATCTCCGGGCCACGGATCTCTCCGGGCTGAGTCTTGCTGGTCCTGGATGAGGCAGCTTGCATTGGCATTGCCTTTGATTTCACCTTTGGTGTCGCAGCACTGAGAGCTGCAGTCATTTTGTTATGACTTTTCCGCTTGGAAGTGAGGATGATTTTGATTTGGCCGTCCTCGCCAATGTCATTCGGATCCACTGCGGCAACCTCAACGGCCTGGCCTTTCGGCCGGCTGACCTTAGGCTGGGAGCCAGGGGGCAGGTCGAAGCTGATCAGATCCTCCTCATCCGAAGAAGAAGACCAATCGATCACATCGTTGAGGCCGTTGACAGTCGCCGCGTGAATGTCAGGTTGCATCATCTGCAAGATCTTTGCTTCCTCCTTACGGTGTCAAGGGGGTAGAGGGGGTTTGCCTCCTTTTCAGTCTCCAGGAACATCTCGCGCTTCGTCTCTTGCGTCTCTTGCGCAGCGATTTCATTGATCGCCTCCAACTCCCTCTCGCGGACCTCATTGTCGAAAGGGTCCTCAGGGTTCTTTGCAATTGCCGGACCGCCAGTTTCCTGGGGTGTAGCGCCAACGATAGGGATGGATGTGTCAATGTTCATGTATTCCCTTTCGAGGCGGTACCAATTCATGGCCATTTCGAAGCGGTTGATTTGGCCAATGCAGTACCCGAGCTTTGCAGCAGCTACAAAATATCTGATGTAGTGCTTTCTGTTCCGCTCGTTGTCATCGGTGTGAACGCGGTCAGCTCGAGACGTGTTGGACACGAGGGTCTGTGGGTCGAGGACAGTGATGCCCGCTGAACCATGCAGCAGTCGTGCGTGTCCATCCATCTGAGTTTTGTAAGATTCACTCAGCCCATACGTCTCATAGTCTCGCGGCACGATGAGGACGACCTGGACGACGTCTTCCCGGAAAGCAATATGGCGAAGTCGGTCACGGACAGTCATCACCGCTCGGGCATTTCTTTCGATGATGTCCATCGCCGCCTTCCGCTTTGCGTCGGAATCAGTGGCCCAGCCCGCTAGGGCGGCGGGGTTGTCGATGTAACCATTACGACCGACAACGTCATTCCCGGACCACGAGATAACGATGACGTACGGCCGGGGCTCAGGCCTTTCGGCGAGCGTGAGCATTGCCCGCTCAGCAGCGTCAAGAGACTCTGCTAGTCCTTTGCCCCATGTCATTTCGGACCAGACCTCGTGCTTATGCCCAAAGAGCGACCGCTTATTCTCCTTGATGATGGTGCCAACATCTGTCTTTGCTCCATCTTTGACCAACGCATTGAAGGAGTCGCCGAAAAACAGATAGTTGACCGCGGGTTTCCCCGGGCAGAAGAGGATATCGAAAGCCTCAACCGGAGCCTCTTTGAGAATTCCCGCAGTACCTGTCAATGATGACATGGCGTTCTTGGCGAGAGCCAGCGCATCGGTACGTTCACTCATCTTGGCAAGGTCGACACCGGAGTTCACGTCCTTGACGATGAATGATTGAGTTGCCGCATCACGGAACATGTCTGACCAAGCCTCTCGGTTGGCGACGCGCAGCTCGTCGGGGATGACCTCGGCCTTCACCTTCCCATCGTGCAGGATGTAGTCCGAGCCGTAGTCAACTCGAGCAAGCGGCACATCTTTGTAGTGCCTCTCGGAGAATGCCGAGCGTACCGTCTTCAAGGCCTTCTCCACGGGCAGTGCTTCAGCCATGGTCGCAACTAGTATCCGTGTTTGGACAACCTTTTCTTGAACCGACACTGCATAAGCAAAAGCCTTGTGAATCAAGTCAGTCATGATGTACGTATAGGATTCAGTATTCTTGAGATTCCGTCCCCTACCTTCAGCATGTTGGACAGTACAAGAACACACTCTTCCATGAAAGTAATTGTGGAGGCAATGCATGTTGGTCTTCACGGTCCATGGTTTCTTCATTGGAATCCCATCGGTAGTTTTGACACCAACAGCACAACCATCAAATTTAACAGAAGTCATGTTGTTTCGAATTACGAACCTGTCAACAGCCTTATCGTCCCAATAAGTGCAACTCCTGGGCCATTCAATAGCAACCAACGGTTTGGCAAATTCCATTGAGTTCACGAGGTCAACGAAGGCAGACCAAATTCTTTTGTAAATGGATCGATGTTTCTTCACCTTCTCTTTCGCCGTGTCATGATTCATGTTAATATGAGACCAAGCAGTTCCGCCAGTGCAAGG